AGATCTGTAAATATTTTGAGAACCCAGGAGGTCCCAGATCAACACTTCCTTGCAAGGTGCTTTTGTAAAAGAGCATATTGACTTATCTAGCATTTTACTGGCTTTAATTTTTCATTTTGACTAGATTGGGCAGTTATTTTGGTGTTCATTGTGGAGGGAAATTAATGAGGGACTCAAGTTAGTTTGTGTTTGTCATCCTGTGCAAAAATTATATTGTCTAAAGATTATTCCCTTATAAAATTACCATTAGCTTCATTTAACAGTCTTCTTCTTTTGTCGAGCATCGATTCACGACGATTTTCTAACAGGCGTTTTCGTGATTTCCTGAAAGGACCACAGGGTGGCAGAGTGATTAAAAACATATCTGCTGGGAACAGTTTCTTTCACAGATGAAAACAGCCCAGAGTTAGGTGACCTGGAGTAGCTGGTGGTGGTGGTTGTCCCAGGGGAGCTGAGTGACGCCACCGGTTTGTAGCATTTCTGACGCCTCGCAGCACGGGTGGCACAACTGCAATGGCTGTGCCCCAGCGCAGCCTGTCAGCCGGCGGAGCAGCTTGGCGGGCCGGTGCTCCTCAGCCACGGGATGTCTCTGTGCCGCACGGCCTCACCTAACGACAGGATGCGATGTGGTTAGGGATGGAGACAATGCTGAAACCTCTGCTTTGTAGACTACTGTTTGACAAAGACTTTTTTTTCTTTATTAAAAGCCTCATCAATCATAGGGGAGTATGATTCCGTATCTCATGGCAGCAGCTGCTTGGCAGCCTGTCAGACTGTTTGCATCTGTTCCTGCCACCAGAACCACATATCCACAGATACATGCGCACTGCATGCTTGCACCCACCACCCACCCCAAACCCTGGCTGTGGTGCTCACTCTAGGGCACAGAAGAGCCAGATCATCTGAGGCAGAGCGTGCTTCATCACAGGCAGCGTGGAAGGAGCAATGGTCAACAGAAACTCGGGATGAGAAGTGGGAATAGGTAGCAAAGGACTAGTAAGGAACAGTGCCTTAGACTGACTCTCAGCTCTTAGGTGTTGCGTCCCAAAGCAGAAAAAAAAAGACATGCCCAATTGTTCAGGGCTGGTCACAGTGCAGAGTCAAACCGTCAGTTCAAGCCACTGCGGTCTGAGCAAACCATCAGAGCGCATTAACACAGATGTAGCTGGGGGACAGCTTAAGAGGCTGGCTTTTACCACTTAGCTAGTAGGTGTTGTCTTCACACTTGAGATGTGGTTTAGAAAGCAGTTCCTTTTCAGCTCTTAGTCACACTTCCCAGCTGACTCACACCTCCCAGCCCGTGCACTGAGCCCTGGACTATAACCTGGGCCAAACATACGACGTAGACATAGCTCAGGCTGAATGAGTTCGTAATTGCTATCAGTTAAATGCAGAATAAAATAAAGAGAAAACAAACCAAAGAAGAACTACTGGAAATACATATGAAATCTTCAAAGATTAATGTTTCAGCCAGTTTTACAGGTGCTTTTTGACAGGTAAATATTTTTGTGATGCTCAAAATTAGAAATTATTGCAAAACTGCTGAATATATGAAATAAGAGGGCTCAACTGTATAGAACAAATGGCATCACTGGCATTGGGTAGTGCAAAACGCTGGTTTAGCAGACCACACTGTCAACTTGAGTTACTGGCCTTACTGGTCTGATGTGAATTTCTGATCTTTTATCTTACTGAAGCTGTTTGTTTCCATAAAATATTTATCTGTTCACAGGAGCAAGCACTAAACCATGTACCCATCTCTTGGTCGTGCTTTAGCTGTCAGTCTGCACAGAAATCTCGCTATCTCTGTCTGGCCCAGTGAGTGTTTGAACATTTAATACAAAATGGAAAAGCTGAGTAAGGAGAGGCTTAGAAAGTCCCTTTCAGATCATCTCTGCATATCTCAGGGTCAAAATGTCTTTTTCTCTGCACTTCAGCTCACTATTATAACAATTACCAGGTCAGTGATGCATGAAATTTAAGAATCTAAACAGATACGAGTCTTGCTCTAGTGCTGAAATGTTGGACAGATTGTGATAAATTCCTCCTGTTATCTCACCATCGTGGCTTCTGCAGGAACTTGGATGTTATAATAGAAAAAGAGAAGTTTAAAACATAACTTTTTTTTTTTTTTGCTGAAAACTTGCTTTAGTCACAAGACTAAAATTAGCCTGGCCAGATGCATTCAGTCCTTTGAATCACACAAGCACTGATTCTTCTGACCAGTTCCTAGCAGACAACTTAAATTGTTCAAACTGAGAGCAGCAAATGAGCAGCAATGAATGTAATCTGTGCACTGCCAAGAATGGGAAACACTATTGTACGTAGCCTGAAAAGAGGAGGGGGGGCTGGACAATACCTGGTAGTTCCTCTGGTTTCCCTTGCCAGGGCCCTGGTGCTAAGGAAGTGAACCAGTTGAAACACAAAGACAAGTGAGGTCTCTTTGCAAACAAGCATGGGAATATAGAACACCACCACACCCCCCCCTGCTAATGTTCACTGAGTGCTGCAGGACCTACTTAAACAAAAGGCCAACTTAAAAGGCAAAAACCTATTTTGTACTTGTCTTCCTCAGTAACAGAGGGACGAAGTATTTTTAAATTTGGTGTTTACATAATGCTGGCTCTTATACAAAAGATGTTAGGAAAAACAAAACTGTTAACCGATCGAACGGCTCACCTGCTAATGCCTTCTCTCCCTCTCCATCTCCTGCTTCATCTTTTGCTACGAGGTGCTCAATGCTTTAATGATTTGTCTGTCATTTTCCTGTTTAAAAGGCTCCAGTCATCACAGCAAGGGAAAGACAGCCTTATGTGAGACTCAGGAACAATGTTGTAGGAGAAATGAGAAGTACACACACGAATATTGGTAATTTTTTCATGTGAATGTCTCATGCTAAAATAAGCTTGCAGAAAATTAATTTGTGAGACTAAAGAATTGATTTATCAAATCTCAGATTAATTTATGAAGTCAAAACATAGGCCACATGCAGTGTTCTTTAAAGCAGTGAAAGCAATACTCTTATTTCACTATGTAAACATTTAGCGTTTCACCACTTGGGCATTTACTCAGTGAGATAAGAAAGTTTATACAAATTACTGGAATGTTTTCTAAAACCAGTACTCTAATACAATGTTCCTATTCATGCATGATGTTCCACAGAGCGTCATGACCTCAGGGGTTCAACTGTGTGTAGCCCAATACCTTTACTGCATGCCAGAGAGCCTCCAGTGCCATCGTCACTGGAAGACACTTGAGCTTCCCCTCATGCCTTCCGTACCAACTCTTTGCCAGACCTATGTGGCTCTTTTACCCTCTTGATATTGCGGAGGATGAATTTTGAAGTGTCCCAGGGCTCCACCTCAAAGATCTGTCATGGCCTTGGGCTGAGGAATGCCTTACTCTTAGCTAGCTACCTTCATCTCCCTTAACTCCAGCCATGCTAAGGTGAAATGCAAGTACGTATTCCTATCTAAAATAGACACCAACTCCTAAAATTGATCCTATATTCATAAAAAAAGAAATCAATCCACTTCCCAGAGGTTACCTCAGAGGGATGTCTCTCTCTCTTGCTGTCAGGATTTCAGGCTCTGCACATGCTGTCCCACCTCTTAGAGGAGCGCCTTAATCTTGGTGGCCAGTCTCCCCTGGGAGGAAGGGTCAACACAATTTAATCTTTTGCTAGGCCTTATGTTCTATAGCAGTCTGTACATTAAAAAGAAGCAAGCTACAAACATCTAAACAGGTTATTTTATGTAGCTCATGATGGGCTTTTGGCTGAAACGTGACCCTTTGGGGTTATGTTAATTAACCATTTTTGGGTGACAGCAGGCTTGGAGTGACTGGTACCCCACTCCCTCATCTTAGGCACAGTGTAACTGTAAGAAATTTCAGTGTGAACATGTGGAAAAAATTAAAAATGGGATATCACCGCGCAAAGGCAAATAAGGCCATGTATAATCGTTAAATAATTCAGTACAGGAAATTACACTGCTCTGCATTTTCCAAGTTGCAAGGCTATGCAAGGGAAGATACGCATTTCAGGCTGCAATTCCACAAGCATCCTGAGTCAAGCTGACAGCTTGTCACTGTCCAGAGACAGCTTCTTCCCCCTCTTCCTCTCCCTCTTCCTCCTCTTTTGTTCCTGCTCCAAGCTGCCCAGGCCTACTCCACCTCGGTGCCAGCTCTGGTGCTCGTTGGATTCTGCACAGCTCTGCTCACTAGCCCAGAAGAAACTCTCCACTTTCTGCTACTCTTCTGCCTGTTTAGTGAATTAAATTGCAGCAAGCGGAGGTCCTCAAAGTGGGAAAACTGGTCTAAGAGACACATTGCAGATTGTGCTGCCGGACCTGAGAAGAACGGCGTATCCCCTTTTAGCAATGGTGAATGGCTGAATCAGCCAAACCTGGGTGATGGAGCTGAGGGCTTACCCAGAAACAGCCTGCAATGTACAGTGACATTCTCTTGAAATTGTCTTTCCTTCAGTCATGTGATAAAGTGCTTGATAAAAATTACTGTGTGAATTCTTTGTCCTAAAGATAAGGTCAGATGAGATGGTTGTTTCAATTCCCTTTTTGTTTCCAGCTCTGTGAATCTGTAGTTTGTATGCTTGCAGAATGAGTGGAATTAGAGGGTGTTTGCAAGTATTCCGCTTGAATGCGTGTCTTCCAAATTTACAGCAAGCAAGCTCAAGCTGTAGTGTTTGCAGTCCTAAGGTGTCCTCTCTCCCTGGCCCATTCCACGAATGAAATGAAGGCAGATTCTGGTTTTCTCTCTTTGCCATCCATGGATCTCTACTGCTCTTTGAGACCTGCAGAGGTGCTCATTAAAACAACTATGCTGGGTTGAAATAAGTTTTAGAACAGAGATTTTCCTGAGCTGGATGTGGCTGCTGTCTGCTTAGTGACCCTCTGTAGGTTTCTTTTCCAAGCACCTGTCAATTTTTTCCTTGACTCCAAGTCCTTTCTTTTACATCCAGAGCCTCTTTTGGTCATAAATACCGCAAGCCTGCTGCGGGTCAGGCAAAGAATCCCCTCCTTCCCGTTGTCTGCAACGTGGTTACTAACAGGTTCACTTGATTCCCGCTCAGTTTTTCTCTTCGTCCTGAAACTGTCGTCTTGGTCCTGAATGGATGACAATGTTGCAAATGCACAAGCGCATGCGATCTCCATGCACGCAGCGCGCGTGCAGGCGGAAATAAAGGCGACGAGGAGGCAATCAAGGTGTATCTTAATTGCACGTGTTTGTAAATGAAAACTATGGCTGGACCACTGCAAAATACGCCTCCGGGGCTTTTTTTTTTTTTTAAAAAAAAAAAGGCTGGGCTTTTTTTCCCCATGGAAAACGACGGATGGCAAGCAGCGCTCATGACCTTGCGCTTTGCCAAGACCAAACGCCGAGAGACACGCGCCTCTGCCCCCTCCTCAGGCATTCCGCATCCGCTGCCGCCCGGAGACAAAGAGGTGAGGCGGGCAGGGGGGACCGATGCCTGAAAACCACCCCTGGGTAGCAGATGAGCAGAAACCCGCACGGTGGGAGAGCGGCAGCAGTTTTTGCGGGTCAAAACCCGGAGCGACAGCCCC